TTTGCATATGGCACATTATCGAAAACTCTAAAAAAACATATACGAGACTTGAGGAATGACGAAGGATTTTTGGACTTATTTGATCATGTTTTGAAACTTTGTCACACAGTTTCTGAGTTTGACTATTATTGGAACAGGTATCATCTATTACCGCACTTAGTTTTCTTTCTTTTTTTATTAATTTATTATTTACACTGTCATTTTTTTACGAATGAGTAATTGCTTCATTATGATGAGTATACTTTTGTTATTTTTGATTTTTACTTTTTGCAGGATGGTGACTACTTTCAATTGTCATGAAAATGCATGGTTGAAGAAACTATATGGCCTTAGGGAGAAATGGTGTCCAGCATTTTTAAAAGATTACTTTTCTGCTGGCATTTTATCCTCACAGAGAAACGAGTCAACGAATAATTCTTTGTCTAGAAAGTTGAATGCAATGTCTTCTCTTTGTGATTTCTATCACTTTTTTTGTGAAGCTGTTAGTGAATGGCGGAGTCATGAGAGATCAGATCAACAACGTTGTTGGGATGGCTTCCCCGAGATATCAATCCCACATGTTGGTATAATACATAAAGCTTCTCGAATTTACACAATTGATGCTTACACGCTTTTTGAGAAGGAGTTTGTTCGTGCTATGTCTTTGAAACATGAGGTTAAACATTGTTTTGGTTTTGTTATTCGATATTTAGTTTGGATGCCTCATATTGATCAGTTTTTACATTGGGTTTCATATGACACGACATCACATTATGTTGATTGTTCATGTAAGAGGTTTCAAGAAGTTGGTATTTTGTGCTGCCATAGTCTTCGTATATATCATATCCACTGTGTCGAAGTTCTTCCTGATTCTTATGTTTTAAAATGTTGGACTCGAATAGCAAAGTCAGTTGAACAAAGTGAGTCATCTATGTTATCCAATACTTCTAATAGTTTACCTTCTTTTTGGAGAATGCAAATGCAAAGGAAACTTCACAAACTTCTGTGTTCTAGTGATTCTAATGCTTCAGCGAGGCTGCTTTGTGAAGAGTCGTTCAAAAAATTGAAACATGATGTTGAAGAACAAGTTGGCAGTATTTACTTCTCAGACAGTGATTCAGCTTCAATTGGAGTTGGTACAATTTCTAATCCCAAAGGTTCAAGGAAAAAAGGTGAAAGAAATGTTCGGCGCAAAAGTATTGTTGAGATTAAATCAAATCAAGCCCGTGGAAGGAAAAAGTCAACTGCAGCAAGTACCTCAATTATTGAACCCTGAAAATTGTACACACTCTTAAAAGCTTTGTTTTTAGTTACATACTTTTTATTATTCAAAAAATAACATCTTCTTTTATCTTTTATCATCATTTTAGTTTATGTGATGTGCACTTATAGACTTTACATGTTCTTTTCCATCTATGTGTTTGTTTTAGTTTTTACTTTTATTGAATCATACATTCCCCTGATATAATATTCTTTTGAGTAATTCTTTCTAATATAATGCGTAACTTGTGTTAACAAAATGAGTATGAAATGAATTTAGTTTTTTAGTTGTTGAATTTAAAATGAATTTTGAATCAAAAAATCTCTAAACTATGTGTTTACTATTTTGAATTAAATATAAATTTTTTATTTTAAAATTGTTAAAAAACACTTTCACATCAAATTCAATGTTTCAGTTCTTACGTACTCACTTCAGTTGTGCCATTATAAATAACTTAATATTGCTTGAAACAACACTTCCTCAATTGGTATTTAATAAGAAAATTAGTAAACCTAATTACATACTTAATGTTCTTAACTTCAATTGATCAATTCTCAAATTGTGTATAGTAACAAATAAAATGAGTATACACATTACTAATAATGATCATATATAAATACAACCATTATAAACTTCAGCCAATATTACCAATAACATAGTACAATGTAGTAGTTTAAACATTCAAATTCACCATAAAGTCATTAAACACAAACTAAATGTCATTACACACAAACAAAATATGTTTTTCCCGATTACACCGCTAAACCAGAACTGCACATTAAACGAATTTTTTCTTGATTGCATTTAGAACAGTTTGTTTTCTTTCACTTTTGCATCACCTCCATCCTTACTTCATTCTTCTGATATGTGAGCATTTTATGCAGATACTTGACCCTCAATATGTTTAATGGCTTTTCCTGCACAATTACATACTATCCTCCATTCCATAAAAGTTGCAACAATTTGACTTTTATGATTGCCAACGCACAACTTTGATTGTAATTATATTTATTTACGTATTAGTAAACATTAAAAAAGTTAATATATTGGAAATTTAGATTAATAAAAATTTATTAATGTTTTATACATAATAGTTTTATTATATATATTATTAGAAAATCGTAGTCAAAGTAAGATGTGCGAATAGTGCGGAAATTCCAATGTTGCAACTTTTATGAAACGGAGGAAGTATATGTCAGTATTAGGTTATGTTGTTTTGACACACTATTGATATTTCATTAAAGGAAAAATCGCACATTTGACCCCCCAATTATCCACCATATTGAAATCCCAAACCCATGTTTCAGGTTTATTAAATGTTACCCCCGAATTGTCAGAATAATTATAAATGTCACCCCTGCCGTTAGAAATATTACAAACTCCGTCTGTTTTTAATTTTTTCCAGGGTTATAATTGTCTTTCCCAATCCTTTTCGTTTAAAGCCCTAATTCGAATTATCCCCAACCCTCTAAATCAACATATTTCTCCTGCAAAATTAATCAAACCACAAACATCATGACACCCACTCAACCCCAGACATCTGGTTCGATTTTTTGAAAAAAAAATAAAGAAAACGAAGTATATGTACGCACCTGAAGACGAAGAGCGGACGAAGGAAGAGAGCTCTTCAATACTCCAAACGGCTCAAGAACGTATCAAGGAAGAGAGCTTTTGATTCAGGGCGAAGGAAGAATGGCTGGAGAGGTTTTTTCCCCAAGCAACGACCCAAGTATGGTTTGTATTCGAATTAGGGCTTTTTAAATGAAAAGGATGTGAAGTTACAAGTTTAACCCTGATTAAAATGAAAGACAGACGGAGTTTGTAATATTTCTAACAGCGGGGTGACATTTATAATTATTCTGACAACTCGGGGGTGACATTTAATAAACTTGAAACACGGGTTTGGGATTTCGATATGGTGGATAATTGGGGGGTCAAATGTGCGATTTTCCCTTCATTAAATCTTCATAAACAAATGTGTATTTACATTATCTTTGAATAAACCACAGTCCCAATCACCCTCTCCATTGAAGGTTTCCATGTGTCTCATCACGTACAGTCCTTCATTTGATTTATTATTCTTGTTGCGCCATGCCATTTTTAAAACTTCTGGCTTCATGGATTTGACTTTTTCTGCTTGAGGGTGCTTTTCATCGCTAAGCCATTTGAATACAGTAGTTTTCTGCAAATATAAGCAATTTTTATAATAAACATTTCTTAGATAAATCTGTACTAATAATGCTCAATAAATATGAAACAATGCTCATTGTGAATAGCTACAGCACTCATATAATAGAAACATAATATGTATACTTACCAAATGATTTGGTTGTGAAAGATACTTCATTTTAATAGATATTTCTGCATCACAAATATCAATTATGAAGAACTTATTGTACTTCAAATCAAAAGTACGTACGTCCCCTGACCCTTGGTGCTGAAGCTTGACCCTCTTCGAACCTCTTCCCGAACCAGCAGACAGGTAACCCATCCTCGTGGGCCTTCTGGAGACGTTCGTAGGAGGCCGTTATGGGTTGATGAGCCGTTCATAAGAGGCCCTTATGGGTTAATGCCTGATGGGACGGTCCTTGTTGAGCCATTAACCCAACAGTTTTATAGATTTCTAGTGTAAGACTAATACTTTTAAGAGGTTGAAAATGAAGCGTTCAATCTTGACCTCCATAAATGAGTTTGTAAAATTAAGCATCAGACATCATATAAGATGTGTTTGACGTCATCATAGTTTATGAAAATCATCATGTGAAGATGGTAGAGTGAATAAACTATAATAAGATGTTTTCACGGGTTGTTGTATGGATGGACTCGGGCCGGATGGCCCGACCCTGAACCAGCCCGGGACCGGCATTGTTCCGGTCCGGCCCGACCCGGTGGCCTGGTCAGTGACCGGTCCGGGTAGGTCCGACCCGTGGGTTTTCCGGTCCGGGCTCGGGTCATCCAAAACAAGGTCCGACCCGGGTTCGGGCCAAAACTAATTTTGTTTTTCAATTTTTTTTAATTTTTGGGTTGGGCTAGGTATTTTGGGCCATTTGAGATTTTGGGGTGGTTTGAGGGGTTGGGGGTGGGAGGGGGGTTAATTAGGAAGAGGAAAAAAAAATTGATAATGGGCCCGGCTCAGACCCGGACTGGACCCAGTGGTTACCCGGGCCGGTCCCGGGTCCACCACTCCTGAACCGCCGGCCCGCCCGGGCCTAGGCCTGACCCAGACCCGAGTCCACCCCTAGGTTGTTGTATGGTCACTATCCATACCAAGAGGCAAGGGTAGACCATCTATTTCTATGCTAATTGCGGTTTCTAGACCGGCCGGTCCACAATACTTTAGGGGTGGACCAGTACTATGTGTCTCTTAGACCGCCCTAGCTGACTAGCTCCAAAGCAGTTCAAATCCGTTTCCCCCATCTTTAGGAATTAGGACAAGTATTAAATTTCAATTACAAAAAAAAAAAACATTATTTATTTCAAACATAGTTGAAAGTATTAAAAATGAAATAATGTGTAATACACAGCAAAGATAATGACAGTTTCCAAAAAATGCAGCTTAATAACCTTTAATGTAGATTAATATATTCAACTTTTACAATAAAAACTAAAAAGTACTCCGTATACTTATATTAACTTTAATTATATTTGTCTATTTGTTTTAGTAATATTATAGGATAAACCTCATTAAAGAATTTAACATATGAAAATTAGGTAAACAAATTAACAAAGACATATTCTAAAAAATAACCCAAAATAGGAGTAAAAAAGGAATATTTCAAATCGGAATAAGAGTAAAAACAATAAATTGGTTACATTTTTCCTTCCAAAAGCCCCTATTTTACAATCAATGCCTAACGACTTAGGAGTACGTCGTGGAATCTATTCGTGAGTAGAATTTACAACAACGTAAATCATAAATAAATTACTCGTATCATATAGCAAGTAAAAAATTAAAAGAAAAGAAAACGTAATTCAACTAACATCGTCATCTGCATGATTGCATCATACTTCTTCGTATATCTTCTATGCACTTCACCTGTGTACGTTTACCTGACTACTCCCGATAAAAGTCATGCTTTTTTTTGCTTTCCTACTTCCGTTTCTTGGATACAGAGCTTTTACAACTTCCCAGTCCGTTTTATGAATGACAGACTCAGTGCCAAGCAGATGTGGAGATGAGGTTTCGCTCCTTCCATCCCAATAGCATAGCCCCATCTTTCTCAACAATTGTGTAATGCTCAGAGTAACACTTGAGGAGGCCCTTTAGGACTGAGTTGACGTAGGAGCTGAGAGGGTACGGTTGAAACCCGGCCATGCTGAACCTCGATTTCCACTTCCCCAACATCTCATGCCGTTCCACCCTCTCCTTCCCCTCGCAAGCAATCACATTCACCAAGTCTCTTGCCAGGCAGTGCTGCTCGACACTGATACGCTCCTTCCTATCCCTTGCCAGGACAACATCCAGCGATTCAAACATGGCTGAATAGTAGTCCAGAGCTTCTCTGAACCTCGGTAAAAAAGGAGCTGTATTGGTGTTTGATTCCTGCTCCACCAACGTGACCACCTTGGGGGACAGCGATTTCACCAACCTCAAAAGCCCGTCCCTCGGATTCTTCACGTCGACGCTCTCGTCTGGTGTATGATGGAGTTGTAAAGGGAAGTTCACCGCCAGTGATTCACCCGGCCGCACGCCAAGCATGTCAATGGTGATTAGGGAAGCGTAAACCGGAACGGGGTGGAACTCTACCTGAATCTTGAATCTCTCAGATATGGCCGCGAGCCGTTTCCCGACTGCTGCCAAGCCATCTCCCCGGGCATGGCGAGAAACCGGATCATCGATCCCAGTGATGCGCACGTGCGGGGGCCCACTGGGCCTTGCGGCAAGTGCTTGTAGGAGCGTCATCCATTGGGTCCCCTGTGCAATCTGGAAGTCTATGATGTGAATGCGGTCGTCATTTCTGCATGCTTCAGCTATGGCACCATTTGCGGCCTCATAACCAAACTTCAGATATGGGCATATCTCATACAAGATGTGCATGTACGATAGTAAATCATTTCCCGTTGGCTCATTACATCTCAATGCCCTATAAATGTTGCTACCTGATGCCTCTTTCCTGGCAACTAACCCTTCAATCATGTAAGCACCAAGACGCTGGATAGGATTTCCTGTGATAGACACCACCCCGCGTGCGTGGTCAACAAGTCTGTCAAAATCAGACAGTTTCTTCTCATCAAGTGCTCTGGCACACGCCGTAAGTAACCATTTGATATCATTAAGAGGAGCAGCAGCAGCAGCTGACATTGTCCCTTCTTCAGGCCTCATCAAATCACTCTCTAACTGCAGCAGAGCACGTTTCATCATCTGACTACGGTTCAAGTTTTGGAGAAAAGTGGTGGGACTACTGCACAGTTGAGGATAACTGCTATAGTTCAGTGGAAAATTTTCGGTTGTGAGGTCGTGACTGTCACGAAAAGCAGAAGGGGTTTGGGGATCAATATAATCAGTAAAAGGCGAATTGGGAGAACTTGTCGGGTTAAACTTTAAGCAGTCAATCGAAGATATTGGATTAGGTAAGGATTGAATCGCAGGGAATGAAGAGAAAGATAAATCTGCTCCAGTTCTGATGTGTGCAAAAAACTTATGTGAGTCCATAATATCAAGTATTGGATGGCAGCATCAGCTGCTCCAAGCACAGAATATTATCAACATAAGACGATCACACACTGTCAAAGAAAAGGTCTATCCACCTTCTGTTGGTTCTAACTTTTAACACAACCTACAAGAACGTAAAAAATCAATTAAGTTTTACAGCCTGCATAATTATTGAAGAACAGAGCTGCATAATCACCATGAAGAATAACAATATGGTGTATCCTTATCTTGAGAAAAAGTTTACACAACAAAACTGTGCACCTCAAATAACAATCCATGAACCAAACATCATCATTTCAATGTAACATAGAGTAAAAGGGGCTTTTGTTATACTACGTAATACAACTCATGGACTAAAATATGACAATATATGCTCTCTTGGGGTTAAGTCATGGATGCTGTTGCTGTATGGTCTCTGCATTCACATATGTAGTATTCCTTCCGTCCGGCTAAGATTGTCTCATTTTCCCTTTTCGGGAAGTGCCGGTAAGATTATCTCATGCCAAATTTGGTAAAGTCTGAGTGACTCTAGATCATTTTAATTTTATTCTTACTTTATCGATTCAACATCAACCACATAAACTCACTTTTTTTAATAATCGTGTCACCCTTGTGCCAATGTTAGTGAGGCCGAGTTAGCATAAAATATCACTCCTCAATGTCAATAAGATAAGGGAAGTGATCGCCTGGAAGTACTGTTAGTTCTGTAGCGTACAATTCTTAAAAAACTGTGGAAGATTGAAAGGCGTCCGCTAATCTATCTATGCAACTCAATCTATCCCGAAACAGGAGAGATGAAGAATAGTAACAGTCCGTAACCATGTATCTCAAACAACTGACTAAGCTACAGGAACCGAGAGAAAGTAAGAATTTGAAGGAATGCTGTAAGAACCTCATTTCAAAGTTGAGATATTTGCCTTGTAAGTTGGGGTTATGCTTTTCCAAAGGCCATTAAAAGAAGTTTAGGCATTTTAGAGTCAAAATGAAAGCGGAAATCGCTACATTAGAAGGCATCGAATAGATAAGAAAAGGCGTTTCGTTGGTAGTGGGATACGTGGATTCAAATCGTGCGAGGTTTATTAAAGGTGATGCGTCTCCGATGGGATATAAATGGGTGTGGGCGGGTGGATGCCAGGGGGAAGCAATAAAGAGGAAACCTACGGTCGGCGGTGGAGGAACCACCGTCCGTCAGCGTTTCGGTGAAATTCAACTCAGGGTCTAAATTACAAGTAGGAAACCTTACGAATCATTTGCAGAAATAATGAGCAGGCAGTAATGGAGGGATGGAGTGTGTACCTGGCTGGCTGCTATTATTATTATCCGCAGGCAGAAAGAAAAAGAAGAGAAGATAATAGAATGGAGCTCGGCTATGTAATACGGAGTATGTATATATATATATATATATACGTAGATAGAATAGAATAAAGGGTGGGCGTGTTTGTGTTCGATATAAATGGGATGGGTATCTTCGATACACGGATTGACGGAAATGTAAGCTGGTTGAGTGTTGACCGATCTTAAGGATAAGCAGTCCACACAATATTAATAACTTCTTCAATATAAATAAGACCACCTGCCTACTTACTAGGGGTGGGCATTTCAATTTTCGGTTCTTTTTTCTTCGGTTTTGTTTCGATTTCGGTTTAATCGATTTGATAGAAAATGTATCAAATATAAATCAATTAAGTTTCGATTTGGTTTCGGTTTGGTATGGTTCGATTCGGTTTGAAGTTCGGTTTACCAAAGTATTAAGGTTTGGATTGAAATAAAAAAACGTTAACTCAAAATAATGAACAAAAAAATCAACTCAAAATAATGAATCAAGGAGCTTTGCCTCCATTTGTAGGGATCGCTTTTTGGTCTCTGCTTTCCCACACCCCACTTCTTTCTAAAGTTTAGAGCTCCATCAATGGCTTCCAAGGATCAAACTTGTACAATGTAATGGTGAGGAGAGTATTAATGAGAATGAGAGAGCTTGGATATTAGCTTAAAAAGTCTCTTGATTTTCTCTCTTTCGGGTTTTCACGTAAGGATTGAGAGTTCATATGAATTTATATATCTATATTTATTATATCGTGTTTGATTAAACTTAACCGATTCAAATACTTTTTTCTTTTTTCACCATTATTTCGACCATTTCTTCCTTTTCATCTTCATGTTATTTTTATTATATTATCTGTTCACGATAATATCAATATCTTTATACAATGGATTCAAACGTAGTACATCCTTCGATCCAGGGTCGGATCCAGGAAGGTTATGTTGGGGGGCGAAAATATTTTTGGGGGGTTCAAAATACTTTTTGGGAGAGCAAAATTTATTTTTCGTATGTATATACACTAAAAAAATTTCTAATGGGGGGCGGTAACCCTCTGGATCTCTACTGGGGTCCGCTCCGATCAAAAGTGATATTTTTATTGTAGCACATTTTAATACTCCGTATAATGACTACAGCATACACGTAGGTGGACGGAGTCCCGAACCCCAGAGTTGAATTTGACCGAAGCGGTGAGGAACGAGTCGCCGACCACCGACCATATGGACACGCCCCTTTAAAACCCTTCTCAACACATTTTGTGAGTCCAGTCAGAGACGCATCTCCTCAACACATTTTGTGTTTATTCCACTTCTTATCCCACTCTCTCTACCTTTTCTTATCTATTCGATTCGATGCCTTTTCTTTCATGCTTAAACGTCTTTTAAAGGCCTCTGGAAAAGCATAACTCCAACTGACAAGGCAGGCATCTCAACTTTGAAATAAGGTTTCTGAGAACATTCCTTCGAATTCTTATTTGGGGTTTATGGTCGCCCGCTGCTAGGATTCTTAACTTCGCCTGTTTCCGCTACATCAAATCATATTGAGTTGCATATGTTGGGGCACTTCTTTAAGAATTTTAGCCTACAGAGATGGCAGCACTTCGCACAACCTTGCGATCAGTTCCCTTTTGTGTTTATCTTGTTCACATTTTTTTGGAATCATGAAAACCATAAATAGTGTACACAAATTGATGCAGTAACTGTATTTGTTTGTTTGCACTGACTGTAACAATCATATAGTTTGATTATAAGAATAGCCCTAATTTTTCTAGGTCACGTTAAAATGAAGATGTTGGGTTCATAGATTGCGCTGTTTTGTTGTCTAAAGGTTTTTCACAATGGTACTCTCTCTATATTACTACGCATTATTCTTCGTGATGATTATCCTCTTCTTTTCTTCAATGAGGGATGTAAAACGTAATTGTTTTTTTACATATTCTCGTAGGTTGGGTTAAAAGTTAGAACCAACAGAAGTTAAGCAGACCTTTGCTTTGATAGAATGTTAGGTCTCATGTTGATAATATTCTGTACCATACTTGATAATATGGACTCCAATCAGTTTTTTGCACACATTAGACCTAGAGCATATTTATCCTTCTTTTCATTCCCCGTGATTCATTCATTACCTATTCCAATATCTTTGTTTCACTCCTTAAATTTTAACCTGTCATCTTCTTCCAATTCGCCCTCTGCTCATTATATTAGTTTCCAGACCCCTACCGATTTTAGTAGCAGTCAGGACCTCACAAACGAAAGTCTTCCACTGGACTTTAGCAGTTATCCTCCACTGTGCAGTAGTCCCACCACTTTTCTCCAGAAATAGAACAGCAGTCAGATGATGAAACATGTTCTGCTGCAGTTGAAGTGATATGATGCAGCCTGAAGCAGCAGCAACGCCAGATGCTCCTCCTGTTAATGATATCAAATCGCTGCTGATGGCATCTGCCAGAGCACTTGATGAAATCGCTGTCCCCCAAGGTGGTTACTTTGGTGGAGCAGGAATCGAACACCAATTTAGCGCCCTTTTTCCCGTGGTTCAGAGAAGCCCTTGACTTTTACTCAGCCATGTTCGAATCACTCGATGTTATCCTTGAAAGGGATAGGAAGGAGCGTATCAATGTGGAACAGCACTGCCTGGAAAGAGACCAAGTGAACGTGATTGCTTGCGAGGGGAAGGAGAGGGTGGAGCTGCATGAGATGTTGGGGAAGTGGAAATTAAGGTTCAGCATGGCCGGGTTTCAACAGTACCCTCTCAGCTCCTACATCAGTTCAGTCTTAAAGGGCCTCCTCAACTGTTACTCTGAGCATTACACAATTGTTGAGAAAGATGGGGCTATGCTATTGCGATGGAAGGAGTGAGACCTCATCTCTGCATCTGTTTGCCACTTGGTCTGTCATTCATAAAACGTGTTGCAATGTTGTATAAGCTTTTTGTGTAGAGAAAAAATATAAAAATTAGAAGAAGAAAAAACTCAACTATTATTGGGATCGTTGAAGCAGATCAATATATCTATTCTTGGGAATAAATACAGATAATGCATAGAAGATTTATGATGATTTTAATTGAAACGTAATCAATGTGGCTTGGAGTAGATCAAGATTTACGAACCAACCATTTGCTCTCAATAGTTCTCTGTGGCCGAGTACCCGGTGTTTGGTTTTTTCTTTCATTTTTGTTAACTACTGTAATAGATGTGTTCTTGCTTTAGAAAAATGTTACTAGTGTCTTATAGTGGTCTATATTATGACGGTAAGAAAGGTTTGGTAGAAATATTAAAATGAATTGACACATTTTCACCAATCTTGGATCATGACTTTACAAAAAAGGATGATGCCCCATCCCTGAGGGCCTTCAACCCCGATCGGACGGTATGTTGGAAGGATGTACATTGAACTATAATCCCAATTTGACAGATAGAGAGTGAGGTTCTGTTCCCAGTATTTGCAGAGGCCCTATGCTTTTTTAGCATAGTAACCCCTCATCGCAGTTGCGCCCCTCATCGCAATTGCCGGGATTCGAACTCAGGACCTAACCTTTGTGGCACTCCCTTGCTATCGGTTGAACTACGCCAACCGGTTGGATCATGACTTTACATTTTTCTATACCGAGTGCAGTATTAAACTCTTTTTAGTTTAATACGAAGTACAAAGTATTGGAATTGAAGTATATATACCAAATATTAGAGTTGAAAAGAATATTTCATTTCTTACCAGAGAAAGAATATAACATCAAACTTGCATCTCTGATAATATCACAGATGAAGAATACTCGTATGTAGTTATTTGGGAGAACTACCAAATAAGCCCTCAAACTTTCATAAAAAGTGCAAATAAGCCCTTTTATAGGAGGCTCTGTCCGGCCGTCGCCATTTGGGACGGTTTCCGCTGAAATTTTTGTTGAATTTTTTTGACCATTTTCTTCATTAAGTCTAGTTTACTCATACAAAATTTAAACTAAAAATTCAATGGTGAAGGCAATCAAATAAATTTTTGAAGATAACTGCGCAGTTAGGCAGCACAGTATACTTCAGAAAATCATTTGACTTCCTTCTCGATTGAATTTTTAGCTGAAATTTGGTATGGGTAAACTAGATTTAATGGAGAAGATGCTCAAAATATTTCATCAAAAAATTCCACCGGAAACCGCCCTAAATGGCGATAGCCGGACAAAGTCTCCTGTAAAAAGGCTTATATGCAATTTTTATGAAAATTCGAGGGCTTAGTTGATAGTTCTCCCTAGTTATTTTGACAGCATTTGAATATTGTGGTACGGAAAGAGGAAAGTCATACATATCTTAATACTTCATAATAGTGAGCGGAGGTAAGGGTGTTTAGGGTATTAAAAAGTGTTAGTTTCATTAAGCAATTGTACGTCATGCGATTCTTGATCTGCATACGATATACATGTGAAATTTTATTCTCTATGATTACTTACGATTTGTGTTACTTATTTCTCTTTGCACTTTCAGTGTAATTCAATGGTGAGATCTAATCATGATATGGTACCCATCATTGCCATTCACCCTTCATCTTTCTTAGCTCCAATTGATCGCTGGTGATTTACCACTGATGACGTAGAAATGAAAGCATTGCCTGAGTTTGGGGTATAAATATATCTCTCAATTTGTAGCACGAAACTACTAAAGCCATCTGAATTTTTTCTCAATAAGTTGTTTGTCCTGATCAAGTTGTGCATGTCATTTTTCCTTTCGCCTCTATATGAACGCATTGTTTATATTTCGACATACTCCCTCTGTCCCTCATTGATCAAACTTGACCACCATTGACCATTTATGTGTTTTGCTAGTAAGTTAGAGTTACATTTTAAGAATAAGTCTTTCTTAGCCCAATGAGCGATCTTCCAATGTGTTTGGAAAAGACATTTCGGTCAAAATTGTGGGGTGACCTTCTTTAACGTAGTCAATGAGTGAAAACGACAATCCATGTTATTAAAAAGAAGTTGTTCTTCTCTACCTCTCTAAATGGAGCAGATAAAATAGAAACATTGCAAATAGCAACATTTTGTGTTTTAAAATAAGACATTATCAACTAATTGCTACAACTAAATAATTGCATAACATCTTTTTGCAATCCATCAACCCATCTTACTAACATGTAAGTTGAATCAACTATCAACAATGTGCTAATATAATCCATTAACCAGGAACAGTTAACCCTTGGTTGTCAAACATATTCATTGTCTATCTAGATGCAACGACAAAGTTTGATGAGAGGCTGGGCATCTGTTTTTCATTTTCTCGCACATAAGGAAAAGGGAAAGAGAAAAGAAGGGAATGAGAGTCTATTAAGGTTAAAATGTACTTGGAACTCTTGTTTTGGAATTTATAACATAAAATTCTAAATTCAAAACATAAATCATGGGACACTTTTTTGACGGACATTGATTACGTGAGACCACAAATCGACCTAATTAATGTGTGAAAAGATGCAAATAAATGAGTACACATGTCATTTCCAGGCAAATAACAAGAAAGATACTACTACCATTTACGTCGGGTATATATGCAGTGTTATTTAAGAAGAGAAAATGGGGAGTAGGATTTGCAGATGACCACAAAACAGGGGAGCAGAGCTCTAGGACTAAGCAAATAAAGCTCCTCTATATTGGAATGGAGACCAACTTTCCCAGCCAAGGAATCAAAACCAGTCTGACCCGCCATTTCTTGAATATTCTCCAGAGGCCTATGCACTCTACCAGCTATGACCCTGCACACTATCAAAGCAGCTTTTCTTTGGTACAATGGCGGCGGATTACTGTCTTCTTCTCCATCTGCTGCAGCAGCAGCAGCAGCAGAGAGTTGTATGGATTCTAATGCTCTGCCGCTTGTGGAAGTGGTGAACACGCCTCCTCCGATTCCACTGCCGTCTTTGATGGACAGCCCGCCATTTCTGATGACTTGGCAGACGTGGCATTTGTCGGAGGTGCAGAGGGTGCAGGGCCCACCGCTGTCGCCGAGAGAGCATGCCACGGTGGTCCCGTAGAACCTTAAGAGCTCATTCCCATCGGCGAGGCACCTCGGGTGCCTCTTCGCCAGTTTTCCGGCCCTCGCCTTCACCATCTCCCTGTATTCTTCAAACCTCGCTACAGTTTTCTGTGTGTTGTGAACTTTCAAAACTCTCTCAATGCCGCTGCCGGATTTTTTCAGCCAGCTCGACCGGCATATAATCTCCACTATTTTCCTTGAGGAGTCACCTTCCAAAAGTTCAGTCACTGCCCGTAAAAGAAAGGTCAAAATGATATAAACACCGACGATGAATTACTACCTTCCTCCCTTAAACTTTGTCAAAGTTTACCGTCACATAGAATAATAAAATAAAAAATGTGTAGTTGAGATTTGTGCATATGAGAGAGAAATAACAAAAACCACAAAATAATTGACTAAAAGAGAAAGTGGCAAAGTTTTTTGAGACGTCTCAAAAAGAAAAAAAATAGCAAAGTTTTAATTAAGGGACAGAGGGAGTATAAATATATAATCATATAAATATAATCAAAATAATACTCATTCTATCCCATAAAATAGTTCCCGCATTGACTTGGATCGAAGTTTAAGAAAGTGGAATAAAGTGAAAATGTATAGTTATGATTGTGTAAGAAAAAGGTAAATGAATGTGAATCACACAAAACTTTCCAAAAACTTAAATGAGAACTATTTTTTGGGACGGCCCAAAAAGGAAACTGTGAACTATTTTGCGGGACAAAGAGAGTACTAAATATAGTATTTATTCCATTCATTTTATTCACTTAATTAGGATATCAATTCTTAATTAAATTTTTATTTGGATTTGACAATAATTCTGTAAAAGTTTTAATGTTGTTTCTGAATATATATATATATATATATATATATATTTTAATTATTAAACTTGAATTATTTATCGATAGAAAAGATTTAGCTTTAACTTTAATTGAAAAAAATTGTTTACTTTGCAACACAATTTGGGATGGAGGACGTATGAGAAAAACTTAATCAAACAAGACAAAAAGGAATAATGAAGATACTTTTGTGAGCTTTTTGGTAAATGTTATTTTTTAGTGACTAAAAATATCTTAAAAGGAAAATGTGGTACATAGTTGTTTGGTAAAAAGTCGACTGTTAGATTTAGTTCTGTTTGTTACGCAAGCTGTTGGGACTAATTAATGCTAAAAGTCATAAATTTTTCTTAGATGTTACTCCCTGTAGGATCTCAAAAAAGATCTTTTATTTTTTAAAAAACTCTTAAAAATGGTCATACCAAACACACAACTACAAGCTTTTAGAGTCTTTTTAAATTGTACAAAAACTAGAAGACATAGACTTACGCCTGCCAAACATATATATATAGTCATAGATAGAGTAGTTGTGGGCGGATGATTTCGTCACGCCCGGGAAAGGTATGTGTAAGCCAAGGGGGGCCTTGGCCCCTCCCAACCTTTTTATTTCATTGAATTTTATCTAGTAAATTTTTTAGGCCCCCTCAATTTTTAGTATTAGTAGTAATACTAATATAACAATAATATTAAAAAGAGAAAATCGTCAAAATGGGAGTAAAACAGGAGGTAATTGCAAAACTGGGACTCATTGTTTTAAATTCTCTAAATAGGAGTAAATATTTGCATTTGGACGGAAATAACCTCCGATGCCGTAACATTGCGCAGACGTTGCCATCTTCTGCAATTCATCGCAAACATCTCTTCCTCCCATGGATCTGAGCTCGTCATCGACTCTGGCCTCCCATCGCATAGGCAGCCAGGTAAGTCCTCTGCTTCTTATTTTTTGCTTCTTCTTCTTCTTCTTCTTCTTCATCTTCTAATCCTCTTCAATTTTCTAGTCCCCTATTCTCTTCTTCTTTTTCTTCTTTGGATTTGAATTTTATTTACTAATTTGGATTTTTTGGATTTGAATTTTACTTAATAAGCAAAATGTCACTTTTATAATCTGAGAATGTCAAAAGTCTTACTAGTATTTGAAAAAATTGTCATGTTTGTAGCAGTACATTTATCAGGATGACAATCTGAAAATGACATATGTTCATAAGATAATGTCATTATCTTGTCATTTATTCATATCAAGTGGCATTCTCATCGGAGGCTGCACAGACTTGAATGACATAAAAGTGTCATTTTTTAAAAAATAACCAGTAAATATGACATTCTTGATTAAAAAATGACACACTCTTCAGAATCATTACTCAGGGCATTTTGAGATTGAAATATATCAAAATTGATAAGAAGAAATTCTAGATAAGTATATCTTCATTGGAAACTTTCACATTCATGCAATATTTTTTCAAATTTGATTGATAATTTTTTTTTAAAAAAGAAAGCAGAGAATCAGGAACAAGGCTACAAGAAGAAGATGAAGATCAGAAGAATTAGAAGAAGAAAAAGAAGAAGAGGAGGAAGAAAAGAAAGAAGAGTACCTGGGAGAGAAAAGAGCAGATGACGCCGATGAAGTCGTTGATGATGGAGATCGAAGTTGCGATCGGCGAAAGGGAAAGTGGCAGGGGAGAAGTCTGGCGGTTGATGGAGAGTCGATCGATTATTTTTAGAAGAAGGGTAATAAGGTAATCTGGAGTCCTATTTGTGAAATATAAAACTTGTAGTCCTACTTTGGAGTTTTAACCATGTTTTAGTCCTATTTAGGATAAAAACTTTATTAAAAACAACAACAACAACAATAACCACAACAACAACAACAATAAATGAATGATATTTAGCCAATAATTTTAATTTAATTTAATCAATGAAAAAAATATTAAATATTTGCACATGAGGTTGAATACATTAAGCTCATTTTTACAAATCAAGTTTTGTTCCATCACTAGGAGTAGAATGTATGATGCTTTTATATTTGTACATGCAAACTCAATGTATTTTCTAGCTAGGTTTTGAGAGGCATAAAGTCTACGTCCTATTCTTGCCACTATAATGATGAGCAACCTTCATTTCGACGACATAACCGACGATTCTTATATTTTATGTATTAAATGAAAATTAAAATCTTCTTTTTATTCTATTAAGTGTTCACTTACTTAAGTTTGAGCTTTGATGTTTGGAGCGATTAGAACTCTAAATAAATGTTTATGACTTGTTTTGACTTTTTGACGTTTTCATGTGGTAGAAGCTAAACTATGTGTTAATTCTTACACGAATAAAATATATTCTAGGAACCGATAAAAGCAAGAACCGAACCGTTTAGTATTGGTTCAGTTCCATGTTGGTTCTTGATTTTTTATATAGGAACCAAAATCATTAGTTGAAATTTAAATAACGGTTCCACTATTTTTTAGTAAGAATCGAACTGGTCCATGGCCTAATTTATTTTAATATACTTTTATTATCTCCCAAATTTTTAATAGTAGTTTAAAACTAACTCAATCACCAAGTAGTGTGCACCCTATTCTGGATGTGTAAATGTGTGATTATTTTTCACAAAAATTATATTACATGATATTAGATATCTTTGAAAAAAAGTGCAGACCTAAAACAAATATGAGGTATGTGTTGTTAACACTAAAGCATGATCAACATATAAACACTACCTCCATCTGATCCTGGCTCCGCCCCTGCATCACACAACTGTCAAATAAATCTACTATCACCTTATTAAGTGATTATTATGAAGAACCATTATTCAATTAGAAGAAAATATATGAAACATGTTAACATGTTCATTATGGAGCAGATTAGCTTGATGAATGATCAAGATTTACTCATCTAAAATATTTAGAAAATCCTGGTCATCGGTCAATGTGCTCCGTAGTAATCACGTTGGCGTACTTCATATATTTTCTCATTCAATTAGAGATCTTTTAATTTGGTGATGATTATATTTTGAAAGCAAAAGTGTATATGGTAATATGGATATGGAAGAACAAGAACACATTTCCGGATAAATATATGTTTAATATATTTTTGTGATATGTATATATAAATACATATTAAAATATACTACTGGTATGAATTAAAAAATCAAAGTAATTTGTTCTTATGGAAATAGAATTTAGAGATTTCTGTTTCACTTACAAATACACATTCATCACATTAATTTACAAGTGAACTGAATATTAGATTATCTTTAAAATGTGAATGGTGAACATGTTAACACATAAATTGATCGATGGTAGTATATATCTCTCTCTTTATTTTAATGAATTTTTCTTTTTTTGTTAAAATTTTCTCGGCATGGTCAAACACAATGTTTATATGTAAACACTATGTTTGACATTGTTAATAAAGGGTAACTAAGAAAATAGAAAGCCGTTGAATTGAATGAAGGATATAAAAATTTCAATAATTTATTTTAACGTGTCTATCTCACTAATGAGACATGTAAAACATGCACATCCTTGCATTGAAGATGATTTTAGTGGCAAACAAGCTTTTCTAATATGACAACTTTGTCGGCTTTCTTTATTGAAACTTACTGAAAACTTTGTTAGCTTTCTTAATTTTTTTTTATCATTTTCATATAAATAAACAAATACCAGTATGTGGTTAAAATTATCTATGTATCCATACAAATTTTAATCATATAATTTTAAAATTTTACATGAGAATATCATGTGCGGGCATCGTTATAGTTTGCGTACTTAATGCGATTGGAATTAGAATTTAAAAAAGGCATATGTAAAAAGTATGGAGAATAAGTCTTTGACCGATTTTAGAAGTAGAAAAGTAGTAGGGAAAAAACAAAAATCATTCGGATTTAGGAGGTAAATTTAGTCAAAGGCTCATTCTCTTTCATTGAAATTGAAAGCAAGAGTCCAAACGAACACAAATGTATGAGTTTAATTCTGAGTCGTCATTGGCTTCACGTTCCATGGATAGGGAGTCAAAATGCATGGTCACGCACTCTCCTAAAAAAGCAAACAAGAGAGGGTGTGACTTCAAATTAAATTCTACCATTGAAATTATACCGTTCCGCTATGATTGTCTCATTTTACCTTATCGGTTCGTTCCACTAAGATTGTCTCTTACCAAATTTGGTAAAATTTGTGTGGTTCTAAATCATTCTTACTTTATTGTTACTTTATCAATTCAATATCAACCACATAAACCACTTTTTATTAATTTGTGTGTCACCCCCTCTTGTTCCATTGTTGGCGGGACGTAAGGAGTAATTAATATGCTTTATTGCTTTTGTCATCTTAATTATAGTAATTATAAAAGTAATTTTTAAAAGTATCAAAAGAATGTTTTGTGTATGACTATGGTAGTACGTGACTAAATACTAGCTAGTATGTATTACCTCCATCCTAATTAATATATATTTTCTTCCTTCCTTAGCTTTAATTAGTTGAGGTATCACAAAATTTTCTTTAATGAATTGAAGTGCATGTATGATATGAGCTCTATCCTATATGTTTAAATCTAATGAATCCTTGTAAAAATCAAAGTTTTCATTAGATTTGAACCATAGCTTGTACAAAGTAAATGGCAAAGTAATTAATTTGAAGAGCTGAGGGAGGCCGGTAGGTACGTAGTATGTGGAAGAAATGAAGAGAAGATGCAATTAATTACCTGCATGATGGGAAAGATGATGGAGTTGAAGAGCTTCCCATTTACTAAACTGTTTTCCACACTTGTGGCAGGTAACTGATGAAGAAGAAGGTGATGATCCATTATTGATACTTGCATTTCTCTCAAGGGAAAGAGAAGCAGCCCTTAGTTTTGAAGACAACTCAAGGCCTTGGCTTTTTTCTCCCAAAGAAGAAGCCCATGGCCTCCTCCCCCTTGAAGCAGGGGTGGTTGTGTTCCTAGTAAGGGAAAAAGAGTTCAAATAGTGATGAGCTGATGATGCACGACGATGATGGTGGTGGTGGTGGTGTCCTCCTGGAGCCGGGCCAGGGCCAGGGCCAGGAGTACCGGGTCTAAGGGTACCCACAAACGACCCGCCTCCGCCGCCACCGCTTGCAAATCGTGTGATTCTGAGTTCACTACACCTGCCGCTGCTGCCGCTGCTGGTATGATGCAGAACAAGTGGATGCAGGGTGAGGAAGTCAGTGCTCCCAATGGATGTTGGGCTGCAGCTGCCTGCCTTTTCCAAGTGCCTCCTGCTTCCGTAGTGGATGACCACATCTTTGAGGTTTGATATTGAGCGAGAGCAACCCCAGCTGCTCTTCGGCCTCCCCACTTCTGATGCCTCTAATGACTTGCACTGCATAGATCTCTTCAACGAAAACCAGACCCTGCCACTCGGCATATCTTTCTTCTTCTTCTTCTCCCCCATTATATATTCAAAATATATACCGGCCTCACTTTTTACTTGCTTCGCCGCATGCATCAAAGCTTTATCATGATTACACTCAATAGCATGCTGTGCATTGCATCATTATATCATGCCCTGCCCCTACCTAGTGTGTATATATATATAAATTTATATATACTAAATGTAGCGGGCCGAGCTTATCGGCCCGAACAGACCTACACCCTAACCCAAACCCGCCCATATCTTATTGCGGGCCGGGCTCGAACCGGCCCGATGGGTAAATATATACTATCTTCAGTATCTCATTAATTGCAACATCGGAATATATACACTATTCATGTACTTTACTTTGACTACATTTTATTTATTAATGTATGTGAATTATTTTTTTTTGAAAAATGTTGTTAAATTCGTTTCATTACTAAGTTTTATAATCTGATTTTTATTTTATTTTTACTAATACAGAACTAAATATAATGACGGTCAAAGTTGTGCGTTGGCAAACGTGAAATGTTGACTGTTGCAACTAAAAAGAGACGGAGGAAGTATGCCCAAGCCCGCCCATTTGTGCGGGCGGGCTGGGCGGGCCGGCCCGGTTTTGTCCAAGTCTAGTCTGCAGCCTCCATAGCCCCTGAATGTACAAAATTTACAATCCAATAGATTGAATCAATTAAGCTATTCCTATTGTAACTTTATCAATTTTGACAAGTTCACCTACTTCGAAAATTGGCCTTATTTTTCAACCAATTCGCTTTTGTTCATTTTTCAGGTTAACCATTTGGATCTCAAAAAAATCAAAAAGCTCTCATGTCTGTGTTATTTCCCAGATAAGCATAACAAGAATCAATAATGATAAATATAATACTTTTGAACTCTCTATTGATAAATTTTATTTAGGATAAATAAGTGACTACAAAGAGGATGAAATGTTTAAAAAAAGATGAGACATACCCTGTTCATTATGTTTCTTGTACATACTCTATAAAGGCTACCCAAGCCCATTATAATGCACGGTTCTAGTTTGCCCTATAAAGGTTTGGTGAGTTGGTTCTACCCAAGCCCTATACTACACACACTGCCACTATTTTTCATCCCAAACTCAGGCTTTATGGAGAGAAATGGAGCTGGGAATAAGGTGCAAATGATTCAAATTGTCAATGCTGGTAGCGATGGAAATGGAAAGAGGAACATTTAAGATAATCGGCTTAAAATTATACTACTTCCGTCTCATTTAATGTGTCATACTTTGGTTTGGCACAAACAATTAATAAAATGATTGAAAAGTTTTGGTTGATATTTGAGTATGATAAAGTGAAATGAGATGCTAATTTTGGGAGAACCCTAAACGTAAAGTATAACATATAAAATGGGACAGGGAGAGTATCCCAAAATTGTCATTTTTTCCCAGCAATATTCATTTTTCTTTCAAAGAAAGTAATGTGTGGTTCAGATTGTTTATGTCCCTTGTAAATATCGTCCAGCACGGCAGCACATGTAAAATCTCAGTGTCTAGGCCAAATGGTATACATAATTATAAGGGGAGAAGAGTGTTTACTGTCGCCTTGCCTCACAAACTAAATCCAACACTTGCACTCCCAACTGTTATAATTTTCCTATAAATTATGCTTTTAAATATTACCCCCGTCCCACTCAACTTTGCCAAGGTGGGAAATTAGAGTAGTAAAATTTGTGTGGTTGAGATTTGTGCAGAGGAGAGAAATTAATAGAGCCACAAGAACATTACTTTAAAAGGAAAGTAAAAGTTTTTTGGGACAAACAAAAAAGGAAAGTTGGCAAAGTCCAGTGGGACGGAGGGAATACAAAATATATTTTGATAATAATATTTTCTGGATAGGCCAAATATGTTTTTTTTTGTCTTAGGCAATTGTGGATTCACAATGCCCGTTAGTGGAGGCATAATGCCATGCCGTCACCAGAAACAGTGCTTTATCAAAGGAGGCATGGGCTATAGGCAACAGCTGATAAGAAAGATAATTCCATTCTTCCATCTCGCATCTCCTCCTTGAGCACAAGAACAAATAACAATGCCCGTGAATGATGGTTGCTAGAAGAATGCACAACCTATCTCCTCCAATCCAATAACAATCTAGTAGGAGAGTTAAACAGCTACAACCAAAAACTGGTCCATGATTACAAAAGTGGTTATTAGATCAAAATAGACAAAGCTACAATAATATACATACCAATATACCATCTATCAGCTTTACAACCAATTAGCACTTGATAACTACACCATCTCAAACCTCTGTTCAAGATAGGTTCCTATCTAAGTCAACATATCTCAAGGTAACACTTAATGTAAAAAAAAAGACACAAAAAACATCATTCATCATCATCAGAACTCGAACTATCTACCAACTGCCTTTCACTAATTGCGACAGAATGAAGTTTTTTATGAAGATCAGGAGACGGGTAGGGTTCTGAAGGAGCAGCAACATGCTTTGTATATTTATTATTTGTTTTAAAATGTGTAGCCCTCACCTCTATGCACACTTTATCAAGTATTACCAAAAAATCGCGAACTATGACAAATAAGCGCAAACCTTCATCCTTCCCTGCATTTCCATGGAAGTAATCACCTGTGCTCTTCACTAGAGACATGATATGCTTCTCTTGTTCAAGTAGCTCTCTCACTTCTCCCTCAGCACTCTGCATAAAATTCTCTAGTGTCTCAAGGAACCCATCTTGCTCTTCATCCACACTCTTCATTTCTGAGCTTAGAAATTTTTTGGCATTCAATACTGCATGCCCAAGCTTAGCAACTGTTCCTGTTAAGTTATCCGCATCTATGAGAGCAGCTCTCTTGACATACTCAAGCTCACTACCCAGACCTGACACGACCTCTAGACCGAGGCTTAGAATATACTCTTCTGAATCTTGTGGAGATTCAAGTAAGAGATCATCAGACTTGATGCTGGACATGCTCCTTAGCTCCCTGGATGCACGGGCAGCCCGTAAACCTTCCAAACGGATTATCTCCCTAACCACAAAGTGCAAAAGGGTTGTCTTCCCATCTTTGCCTTTCACATCAGATAGTTTTAAAAGTGTGTCCAATTTGAAAGCTTGCGCACCACCACGGTATGTTCCAGAATTCATGCGATTGCCAGTTTTTAAGACAGCCTCCAGGAGTTTGAGGAATAGCCTGCTTTTCCGTAGTTTTGTGCAAGCAGCCTGGATAAGCATGAAACAAACACCTAAAATATTTTCATGACATGAATTGAACTATTTTTCAGTGCACAATTGACACCACCAAGATCAGAGACTTGTTGATAGGGACATTTAAGAATGATAATAGCCTTCATGTGAAACGACTTGTACGTACTGGAAAGAAAGATAATGAGCCTGGCATCATGCTATGGTTTTAAAAAAATTGATGAAAGACAAATGGTGAATATTTGACAGAAGACATTTGCACCGGAAAAGTCAAGGCAGTGCAATACAGAAAGAAATAGATGAAGGTCCTCAAAGACTCCAGAAATATCATATACAGAGTAAATCACAAGTATGAGGAAAAAAAGGTACACAAATGGTGTCACCAAAATTGTGTTTTTAGTTAGTAGAAGCTTAAACTTTAAATTTTGAACTACATAAGTTTCTGTAATTTTCTTCCAGTGGAGAATGTATATTGGGAAGTAGGGCACCGGTATTGGATTTACTATTGTGAGATCTAATAAGCTCAGAATGTATGAAGTACGGAAACTTTTTGGGGCTCACGTTTCCCCGTTTCAGGAACTCAAAAGCATGTCAGAAACTCGGAAATTTCAAATTCCTGTTTCGGGGCCATTTCTGTGATTAAGAACTGAGATACACATTTCCCTAAAAACTTGGCCTTTCAGAAACCTTGGCTTTCCATTTTTTCGTTTTTATGGGATTCCATGATGGAAAATAGTGTCTTTTTAACAATACTTAGTGAAATTTTATGGTATTTTTCCTTGACAACATTGTGCCATTTTATAACACAATGCATTGCTAGAAATGTAATTTATTTTATGTTTAAGCATGTACTAATGTGTAATGATTTCTAAACTTGAACATGTAGAATGCATTTATTATTGTCTTCCTAAACAAGTTGTATGGAAATAATATGTGCATATATATAAATGAAAAACATGGTTACATCATCATCATCATCATCATCATCATCATCATCACCCCAGTGCCGCAAAGGCTCTCACCTTCGGTGGGGTAAGGGGGTCGGATGTACGCAGTCTTACCTTTGTACTAAAGCACAAAAAGACTGTTTCCGGATGACCCATAGTGAAAATTGCATCGAAAATTGCATGTATTGACTGCTGTTTCATAACAAGGAAGCGTAAACAGATTAGTGAGTTATTTTGCTTTATTCAATCATTTTCTCAAGTCAAAAAATAGTGAGTCTGTGGTTCACATATATGAAAAAATATATATAAATATATCCTTATATTTTTTAATACTTATGTGTTTCCCCCACGTTCTGTATCCTATATTTTTTAGAAGTCACATTTCTCGCATTTCGCGTTTCCCGTTTCCATGCTACTTAGCTCAGAATATATGTTTTTTTGGGAACTTTTACATAGGAATGCTTTTCTTAGAAGTAGACATCATGATACTTTGGATAATGATTTTTTTTATTTATTGATTATTTTACTAACATGGTTGTCTAGGGATTGCAATGCTTAAATGTAACGTAAAGGAAGAAAGTACGAAAAATGCCCTACATAGAGTAAAAACAATGTGAAATTCCAAAATATGAGTGTTATGTTTATTTCCATAATCTGAGTAATTACTCTCATGTTTGGTAAATAGTGCCATGCAAGTATGACGTTAATATGATCATATTAATTCCTGTTAATGTCAAAATATGACAGTGTGATTTCATCATGACGGTGATTTATTTTACACATATTCAAGAGAAAAACATAGCACTCATATTTTGGAATTTCACATTGTTCTTACTGCTATTTGGGAAATTTATCAAGAAAGAATGACAAAACTATAGATTCCCAACATGCAAGTCCAATGTGGAAATTAAGAATGGAGGAGGTCTCAAAGTCCTTCATAAGGCAATCACGAAATCAATGCCTACCTCTAACGTTGCAAATGACTTTTTAACCATTGATGCATCCTCCGGAAG